ATCTCAATTACAGTTTTGCAGAAAGAGAGAGGACAAAGCAAAGCCATTTATTTATTGGCTAAAGTTATGCTGGGATGGTTGGAAGTATGGTATACATTGCACAAGGCTTAGCTTGGCCATCTGTATCTAATCTCCACAGAAGGTAAAACATTTTTTTTTAAAAATGAAAGTATCTTTCAATTTGTGGAATAAAAGGATTTTTAAAAAGCATCTTTAGTGAATTTGGCTATTGGAATGAAACTGGTATGTTTAAAATGTAATCTTAAAAAAATTAAATAAAAAATGTGGAGTGATTAGATGCTCAGATTGTTTTGAATCTGATCCAAGCAAAACTCTTATTGCTTGACAAAATGAAGTAATGGGCATTTTGTGTGTTTTGTGGTGGTTGCCATTTTTCTTTGGTAACCAGGTAGTCCTCGATTTGCAACAGTTCATTTAATGACCGTTCAAAGTTACAGCAGCACTGAAAAAAGTGATTTTCAAACTTACAGCCATCCCCATGGTCATGTGATCAAAACTGGCAAAGGGTTCACGTTTACGACGGTTGCAGTATCCCGGGGTCATGTGATCATCTTTTGCAACCTTGACTGATGAGCAAAGTCAATGGGGAAGCCAGATTCACTTACTGTAACTGCTGCAGTGATTCACTTAACGACTGTGGAAAGAAAAGTCATAAAATGGAGCAACGTTCACTTCACTAATGTCTTGTTTAGTAGCACAAATGTTGGGCTCAATTGTGGTCATAAGTTGAGGATTACCTGCACAAGTGGTGGGTGCATTTTAGAAGGAATGACTGGCAACTGCTACCGTAACCATTATCAGAACAGTGGCCTGTTCTTTTACCATTCCTGTCAACAAGAAAACCTAAACAATTTTTTTTTAATTTAATGCCATTCTGGAAAAAAAAGAAGACTTTCCTTGTATGTGTCTAACAAGTAAACAAACAAAAAATAATATTCACCCATGTCTTTTGACCTTTGACAACATAAAGCTTTTTTGTTTCTGAGCGTCGTCGTGCGCCTGCTCAGAGAAGTTTGGGTGGTGAATACCAATTGCCCTATGTCCATGTCTTCGTTCCCAGCAATCATTCCAGAGAGATGGAAGTAATCCAAATATATCCCCCAAGACACTTTTCTTGGTCTTCTTCCCTTCTTCCCTTTTCATCCTGCTGTAGGTCGATCCTCATGGTGGGAAGGACGGTGAATCCATTAGCACGCTTAGCAAATCAGAGCTAGGTTTCTAATAAAAGATCCTACAGATTGCCTTGCGTAATAACTGTGTAAGAAGAGCATTTAGGGCAAGGAGGAGGTTACACTGAAGATATATGTCATAGCTGGAGAACTTCTTGAGGCTGTTACAGCCTCAAGAAGTCTCCAGCTATGACATATCTCTTCAGTCCGTGCATAGGAATAAGAGTAAACGGGTATGCATAAAAGTAAGGGGTATGCCAGACGTATGGAAAATTAAGCTGAAACTCCATATTGCTAGTCCTTTGATTCTTACATTTAAAAAGCTGTGGGAAGAGTTGGAATCTCAAAGAAAGCCCCTTCTGTCATTGGGTATTCTTTGGTTTGTGTAAAAATGTGCCTCTAATATGGGTTGTTTGTTTTCTTGTATCTGCCAGCATATTTTAGAAGTGCATTTGGTTTTTGAGATTTTTTTTAAAAAAGGGATTCCAGATCCAGATTACTGGGTAAATAAAACGGCTGTCTGTTGAAAAGACAAAGAAGGCATAGTGTGGCCGGGTGGCCCTTAATATTGTTGTTCTTTAGTTGCTGTGTTTGTCTCTTCGTGACACCATGGACTGCAGCACGCCAGGCTCCCCAGTCCTCCGTTGTCTCCCTGAGTCTGTCCAAACTTACTCCACTACATGGGTGACACTATCTAACCATCTCATTCTCTGCTGTCCTCTTCTCCTTTTGCCTTCAATCTTTCCCAGCATCAGAGTCTTTTCCAATGAGTCCTCTCTTCTCATTTGGTGGCCAAAGTTCTTGAGCTTCGCCCCTTAGTATAATGTGGGACAAAGGCCTCTATAAAGATTTTACTTGCCCCCTTACGTATTGGAGCTCCCAGTATAACTTTTCCTTTTCATATGGGATGATCAGGATTCTTAATACCAGCTCGCATCCTGTGAGTATGTGTGCTTGCAGCAGTTGTCTTCCTGTTGTATATTTTTCCATTGGGCTCTTCTGAACTTTTGTCTGTATCCTTTAATAATAGCTAAGGTGATGATGATCACGATGCTGCTTTTCTTAAATATTTGGTTTTGCTTGAAGTCATAATTAACCACCGAATGTTAAGTAGGTCGTTCATCATGGTGGGAAGGATGGCGAGTCCATTAGCATGCTTAGCAAATCAGAACTAGGTTTCTAATAAAAGATCATACAGATTGCCTTGTGTAATAACTGCTTAAGAAGAGCATTTAGGGCAAGGAGGAGGTTACACTGAAGAGATGTGTCCTAGCTGTAGACTTCTTGAATGCAGACGAGGCTGTTATGGAAAAGAGCAGAGTCCATGCATAAGAATAAGAGTTAGGGAGCAAGAATCAATCCAAGTCTCTGACATGGTAGTTGATTCCCACTCAGCAGACAAAAAAGACAATATGGGTAAAATCCCAGAACCTTTTGACAGTGGCTTAGACCGAGGCTACCTTCGACTGTCTCTTCTAACTGACAGACAACTGTTAAACAGATTGATTCCAAATGTATTCAGCCCCCAACCGAGGGGGAACAATATTTCCCTAATAATTTGTGCACATGCATCTGTGATCTGTCATGCATGAAAAAATATCATGAATGGTCTGCCCCAACCTGCCTTAGATCAGGTTGTCTGAATTGCCGAGAGTTTTTCCAGGTATGGCATTTGAGGATTCCTCAGGCTGAAAAACATGGCTATGTGAACTGGAGGTAACAGGAGTTGTAGACAACACAAGTTATGTGTTTGTTTGTTTGCTTGCTTGCTTGCTTGCTTGCTTGCTTGCTTGCTTGTTTGTTTGTTTGTTTGCTTGCTTGCTTGCTTGCTTGCTTACTTACTTACTTACTAGACTTCTATGCCGCCTATCTCACCAAGGCGGCTCCGGAAGGAACCAAATTCCTTAGACTTTCAGGCCTTGTTTTATATGTGTAATTCATGCCCTCCTTTCTCCAGTATAAAACACCAAATCTACCCATGGGAAAAATCCTAGAATTGGCCTTTTCCTGGAAACGTCTTTCCTTCCTCCCCAATAATGAAGTTATGCAACGTTTGCTTTCTGTTCCTTTTTTAGGAAGTTCATTAGTAGGTGGGGTTTGCCAGGCAATATGTTTATATCATCCAGCTCAAACAACTGCTGGTGATTTATACCAGGGGTCTCCAACCTTGGCAACTTTAAGACTTGTGGACTTCAACTCCCAAACTTCAACTGAAAGTTGAAGTCCGCAAGTCTTAAAGTTGCCGAGATTGGAGACCCCTGGTTTATACTATCTTTGAGAGAACGTGCTTCATTTTTTTCTTAATGGTTCTATAATTAAGATAAGGTAAGCTGACTGGAAGCTAAGCAGGGTCAGATCTGGTTAGTGGTTGACTAGGCAATCTCCAGAGAATAACTGGGTTGTAGGCTAAATTGGGCATTTGAAAAACATTTGCATTGCTGCTAAGAAATCTGTGTGGCTGTGTCCATGAAATCACTAGAAGTTGAACTCCACCTGAAGGAGATTATCTTTTCAAACCAGAGAGTAGCAGAACTAGGTAAATTAATCTGATCACGTTGGGTGGGGGGATCATTGGTACACATGACATCTGATACACTTTGGCTTTATTCTTCTGATGTAAATAAGCCACACTATGTTGATGTGTGAGATACCTCTGGCAGGATCTCAGCACAATCTTGTTGCTGGTGGAGTTTTGTGAATGTTTGCTTCTCCAGAAACCTCACCTATTCCGTCATTGGGCTTGGCTTCAGTATCTGATGAGGTTGAAATTGCTGTGTGGGAGATTGGGTGTGCCAGCTTCTCCTTTCTTCTGGACACCTTTAGCGTGTGGTAAGAGCTCCTACTGCCATGTTCTATCCTCCACTGTTCTGTTTGTAATCAAGAAAGAAACCCGGAACAGAGTAGCATCTGGAAGCGACCCAGTCAAATAGAAGAATGCTGTAAGGGGAAGGCTGCTTACAATATGTGTTCCTGCAAATGTCATTGGAACTATTAGTAAACATTCAACTGGGGCTGTCCTTGAGAAGTCTTAATTAGCCCCAAAGACCAAACTGCTTCCCCTTATAAATACTCCCAGAGACAGTCACTTTTCAATGACCTTCTACTGATGTTCACCTATGTGAATTGTTCTTCTTTGTTCCTGTTGGCATGTATGCTGTATTTTTTCAGAAAGGCCTTGCTGCAAAAAGGAAGGCTTTCTCTGGGTTGAGCTATTTGCCTGTGTTATGTAAACGCACGTAAGCATTTTATGTGATGCAGTTCTGCACAAATCCATCGTTTGTTAAATAGAAATCTTATGTGCTACCATGAAATATGCTGTATATATACCAGAACATTCAGTTCCAGGAGCACCCATGGAATGGGTGGAGAGAAGGTTAAGAGACAAAATGCCCTCAGCCTTGAAGAAAGAATTTGAGAAGTAATTGAACAGTCCCGGCCTTTGGCTGGTTTTTTCCCCCCTTCCTCCATAAATATCACTTGCAGGCAATGAGAAAGGTATAATAAACTAGAAGGGCATATCAGTCCATAGTAGCAGATAATTTTTTTCCTCCTTCTTTACTGCTTTTGGTGTTGGCTTATTAGGCAGGCTTTGTAAGTGATTGTATTGCTAATATATCTGGGAATGTGCACCAAGCTATGAAATCCAGCCCGTCAAGGACATAACCCACTCCTCTAGAGAGCCCAAATTTGCATTGTTGGATATTAGGACTGCCGATGGCAAGTCTCAGATGCTGATCAAAAAGAAACCGATTCGGTGACAATAACTGAAAACTGACGTCCCAAATGCCTTTTATTGTTTCTCTGCTTTAGAAAGAGTTGAGACCTCGTCTCTGCCACATGAAGAAGGGCCCCAATGGCTATGGGTTCAACCTCCACAGTGATAAGACAAAACCAGGCCAATATGTCCGGGCTGTGGATCCAGATTCTCCAGCTGAAACTTCAGGGCTGCAGCCTCAAGACCGTATCATTGAGGTATGTACTGGGGGGAATGCACTGTTTGTTCCACATTAATTAACATTTGACTCACCTAGACTCAAAGAGAACTGATTAAACGGAAGTTGTGATCCAAGAGTTGTGCCAGCTTAGCCATTTTATGGGCTTTTCAAAATCACCTCATATACCTCGCTTGTTTTGAAGCCAGTGAAATTGGAGGATTAAAATACCCATTGTCTGATTTGAGAGTAATTATGGTTATATAGTATTTCTCTACCCTGCCATAAAAACTGTAACTCTGTCTTTCCCAAATGCCTTTACCTTGGAAATAAATAGAATTCCATTTCTTGTCTAAGACCATTTCCTTAAAAATCCTTGTAGACTATTTTTAACATATTTTAATATAAATTAAGACCTTCATTCCTGGACTCCTCTTACTATTGCAATCTCACCTGGTGGCAGGGTTCACCTGGATGCTTTTGGCATAGGAGTTCAGTGGATCCACCTCCATGATGCTTGTTTCAGAATCTTCAAATTGTCATCACTAATTACAGCACCATCCAGCAAGGCATGTCCCTGCCCGGAGGAATTTGCCAATTAAATTGGAGCATGGGAAAGCAATAAAAAGATGTTGGGGGCAAAGGTCGCAGGGGAAGCATAGGCTTATGATTTAAAAGAATATTATTGAGTCTTGACACTGGTTTCACACCATGAGCTTAAAGCCTGAATTTCTTGATGGACGGTGTCATAAGCACAATGGGATAGATTGGATGTTGATAACCCAGGCTCAGTTTCATTCCAAATAGCCTCTTTTAAAGATCAGAGGGGGAAACGCCCATGGTAAGGAAGTTATGACCAAGTCTAGGCACCAAAGACAAATAGATCTGCTGCACTGGGTCATTTCACAGAAAGGCTTTGGAAGGGCTAAGTTAAACAAAGATAATTTCTCCACACTATCTCGGGATTAGTACAGGAATGAGATTTTCCTCAGTCACCATTGGATTGCACAATCAATGCTGTGAGGCACGCATGGCTAGAGATGAAGCTAAGCAACAGTGTAGATATGTGACATTTTATACTGACTCCCAACTGCCCACTTGCATAGATGCCTTCATAGCATGAAATTCTGTTCAGTCTTCGGGGAGAAATGAGCACAAATTGCACTTTTGGGAGGGTATGAGTTTAGCCACACGGAGTGGATGGTAAAGGCTAAGAAAGCAATTCCTCATATTGTGCCAATGTGTAAGCTAGGAAAGGGAGAGAGATGAACCGCATACAGCTCCTACTTTGTATATGTTTACAGACCCGTTAGTATTTTACTCCTATAAAAAGATAAGCCTAAGGCCAAAGGTTGCATAGCCCATTATTTTTAATGCATGCTATTTTTACCCTAAAGTGTGCTTAGTTTAGGCTTCTACAGATCAACTGCACAGAAAGGAGAGCGAGAAACTAGGTTATTTGTTTCTTCGGTGTGTCACGAAACCAGGTTTGGGCAGTCTTGATTGGTCGGTGTTGTGGAAGCCCTGGGTGTATCTTTTGTGCTACATGCGACATTTTGCATGTGCCCAGTCATAAAGCCTTTGGGGCCCTAGAGGCATTTTGGTAAATAAAGATGATGATAGAGTTGGTACTTGCTATGCAGCATGCCAGCTCCGCTTCTATTATGTTTTAATTAAGAGATCCTTTGAAGCAAAATAAGAAGTTTGCCGACACGGAGGGAGGTGTCAGAAGGATGCTGGTGCTCACAAGCTCTTTATTGCTGACCTTGCATTGAATTATCAAGCTGGCTTTGCAAATGGATGGGGGTGGGTAGGGAGGGCAAGGGAAGTCAGGCTGCGCAGAGCAGTGCTGCAGCATCACGATGTGAGTCCCATCCCTTTTCTCCATGCGTTGCTATGTTGCATGTACTGAAAGCTCCCAAAGGGGAATTCTGATTTAAGCAGTGAGCTGCTATGGACCAGGGGTTCCAAGCCCCCAGGCCACGGCCCAATACCAGGCAATGGCCCATTTGGAACCGGGCCACGGAAACAGTGGGGAAGCATGCATACAGAGTTCAAACTTGTGCCAGCAGCAGGCAAGTATGTGCGTGCAGCTCCATTTGCACAAACAGCAGGCGCGTGGGCCCACCCCCAGACAAATGGAGCTGCACACGCGCTTGCCACTTCTGGGGAACTATCTCTCTCCCCACCGCTACCCTGGCCGGTCTGCAAAGCCATAAAGATTGGGGACTGCTGCTATAGGTGCCTATTGTGTTTTCCCCAAAATAAGACCCTGTCTTATATTTTTGTTGCCACCAAAAAAAGCACCAGGTCTTATTTTGGGGGGATGTCATCCACTGACTAACCTAACTTGTGTGCGTCGCCCCTGGCCTCCTTTTCGCTATCTTCAGGAATTTCTTCTTCTGCAGCCAGCAACGCTTTCCTGAAGGTCTCTGCAGCCTATAGGATCTATCCAGAGCTGTGTTATCAGCTCTAGAGGCCTTCAGGAAAGACTTGCCAGCCTTGCTGGCTGCAGAAGAAGGTGTTGGGGTGATGCGAGGCCTGGCTACAATTGTCCAAAGGTAAGCAGTAGGGCAGCTCCAGTCCCCCATCCCCACCCTAGTTTAATTTTTACCTGTCCACTCCGGAGTGGGCAGGATCTTAATTAGGGCTTATTTTGGGTGGTAGGGCTTATATAGGGCACACATGTAAAAAAAACAAGCATAGGAATGTTTTACAAGTTGACACTAGGACTTACTTTCAGGGTAGGTCGTATTTTAGGGGAAACGGTATTTTGTTTGGAAACAAAACAGGAAACCTTTTAGCTCAAAGTGAAATTAATATAAGGGTTATAATATGCAAGTCATATACCCATATACCCACTGTGAGTGCATTTTGTACTTTCTTTTAAAACTACCTTGAGTGTAAAATTATTTATAAGGACAATAAAGGTGGGGTAAAAGTAAACATGAATAAATAAATACAGCCTATTTTCTTATTCTCTGCTGTCAAGTCATACTCACTAATAAGAATAACTTCAGAATAGTGAGCAAGAGTAATGGCATCAACTAAAGGTCAGAGCTGGGAGTATCCACTTTCAGTCTAATTAAAATTCTGATACATGTTGTAATTTATTTTTTATGATTTGTAGATTGCCTTTCAGCACATGGGTGCTTATTAAGCTCTGGCTACAGTCATTTTTATACTACTGTTGCTGCAATCTAGCCATATCCATTCCTGGCCTGTTTGCTGTTTTACACAAGGCACTTGTCTTTTAAGATAATAACCACAATGTAGCCTTATATTCCTGGCCAAAATAGTCCCTGGCCATATTCGTTAAGAAATTCAGAAACCACAAACATGGTATTTTTGAATGATAATATAATCTGCAGCAGAATTTAATGGCCATATTTCCTTCCTTCTTGAACCTTCAGATAGGGCAAAATTTAAGCTCGTCTAAATACAGAACATTGTTATGTTTTTGCTAGGTTGACTTTCTGAGCAGTGGCTTACTTGAAATTTAAAGTAACCCAGGGACTATTTTTAGTTTTGTGGAAATGGTAAGGAATCATTGATGGTTCCTACTGAAAGGCCTACCGCCAGAGCCCTCCTAAAGATAGGTATCCTAGGATCATAGAGCTACTCTTGAATGACACTACATGGGCACTGGATTTAATAGACCGCATCTGTTGATCTGATGTTCTCACTCTCTTGTGTGGACCTTTGCACTTCTTTAGAAACCTATGGGAGAATTTTCATTAAGAATGTTTGTTATTGGACAACTTTTGGGAGAAATCTGTTTGTCCATCAGAAGTAACCTGGTCTTCAAGGATTATGCTCCATGACCTCTTGCAATATATGTGAGGAATTAATGTAAGGTATAAGGAACTGGGTTTTAATAGAAATGCAGCTCCTTGAAGATGGAGCAGAGCCATGATTTAGATCCATCTACCTCGTGTTCACACAAACTGCTAAATTTGGAAAGGCAGCGAAGCTCTAAAGCAGCCTTTCATCTTGGCATTATTTTGCTCACAAGGCAGAGTCATAACCTAAATATCCTTGTTCACAGGAAATGTTAAACACTAAAACACGCTGGTTAAGGATGTTGAGAATTGTAGTTTGATACATTTGGAGCATACAAGATTGAGGAAGATTGTTTGAGGGACATTTATGTCCCCACAGAAAGGCATTTACTATATGTAATTTAGATAGTTAAACCTAATTCCAAATGATAGAGTGTGACAGTTTTAAGTATCCGATGACATTGGCAAAAGACTCAGCTGTGATGATTCCTATTGCTTTTGTGGGAAATAGTTCATAAGATACCATATTAGTCCTGTACTTGCTGTTTTTGCGGGGTGCTACTGGTTGTTGTGGGGTAGACGCCCACATTTCTAAAATCTCAATATTGTTGGGCGCCCTCCTGAATATTTGTTTCTTTCTTTGGGCTCAGAAACATGTTTCTTTCCTGGCAGGTGAATGGGCAATGTATGGAAGGCAAGCAACACTCAGATGTTGTTTCAGCCATAAAGTCTGGTGGAGATGAGACCAAGTTGCTGGTGGTGGATAGTTTAACAGATGAATTCTTCAAGAAGTGCAAAGTCATCCCCTCTGAAGCACATCTGAAAGGTATGGCATCCATTTGCTCAAGAAGGTATTATTGTGGTTTGGGTGAGATTTAAAGAACAATTCCTTCCTAGACAGAGATGCTGTGAGTGTGTTGGAATGCAAGTGTGAGATGAGCATGGGCCTACTGGATAGGCTAGCAAAGAGCCCCTGACCCTTCTCATTTTTTGCCTTAGAGTCCTGACCCTTCTGTTGGAGGAGAATGGTGCGGTGTATGTGGCTATGTCTGAGTCTTGAGTGGAAATAACTGATCTCAGTGGTGTATTAAACATTAAGCAGACTATAAGCACGTTCTTATGGCACCAGGCCCAAAGGGGGCACCACAAAGTTGAGAATATGGCTTGGTTTGTACAAAGGAGGCACAAGATTTGTCAGTGCTTAGGGCAGCAGTGAGACTTAATCCGTCACTGACTGATCTCACCAGAAACAAGACAGGAATTAGCAATCCCTTTAAACATTAAATAAATCCCAGTAATGCGGAATGGCCAAGAACAATGTGCTGTGTGAACATCTTCATTAGTTGGGGTATTTGGCATACAAGTGCTAGAAAAGAAGTGGAAGCACGTCATTGGCTCATTCAGAAAGGCTGAGTTCATTGTTAAATGAGTTACAAGATGTTCTTCCATCTTTAGGAATGTAAGAAGCTGCTTAGTTTTGAATCGCCCTCTTGGTTTATTGAGCCCAGAATTATGGGTACAGACTGGTAGCTGCCGTCCATGGTTCAGGACAGTTTGCCCATCCAGGACAGTCCTGAAAGGATTGAAGTTAGATTTTTTTTCTGAATTCAAAGCATGTGCTGTACTATTGAGGGGTATATTTTCCCTCAATAATAGAACAAAGACACCCCTCTCCCCCAAACTCTGGGTTACCGTTCTGAAATGCTGGCCTGGTTCTGCAGAGAAATGAATGCTAAATTTCATATAAATGAAATTAAAATGTTGGATATATGAACCCAGTAGGCCTGTCCTTGAAAAGCATACATTGGTAACTGGGAACCAGTCTTGGGAATGCCTGCCTTCTTTCCATACAAATAAGAGTCTTTCTCTATCCTTCTTGCTCTCTACACCCAGACACAAAATAGAATTTCCCTAAAAAAAACAGACAGACATTTAAGCCATGCCAGTTTAAATTGATTGTGATGAACTAGCACAAAACACATTTGAGGCACATCAAGCTCTCTACCCTTGCATTGGGGGCCCCAGCATCCCAGCAATGAAAGGATAAAAAAAAAAAACCCCAAGAAGACGGGAGACACATGCCGGCTCACCCTTTTCACATGCTCTTGGCGCCCAGATGTCAAATTAGAGCTTGTATTGTTGTTGAGATCTGTAGACAATAGGTTTGGGGCAGGGCCTGCTGTACTTTGCAATCTTACTCTTTGAGTGTTGATTAAAAACTGGGAGGCTCAGGGAATGTTGCCGCCAGGATTATTGATTTGTGTTTTGGGGGGGGTCAACCATTTCTGAATTAAGCTGGCAGGGTTGTTGTACCCCTGTTTTAATCTTTATTTTATCAAAGCTGCAGCAGCAGCAGCAGCAGCAAATGTTAACATTAACAGGGCATTCATGAGCGTGGTGGGGAGTACATATGACCTGCAGGTTGCCCATCCCTGCTGTAGATTCTGGCCTTTGAAATTTGGCCTTTGGAGATCATGCCTGGCATACAACGAGAGCTTTCCAAATCATCTATGTCCTGGAGGGAGAATTCCCTGTGTCTCCTGAACAGGATTAAGATTAGTGGATGAGTGGGGTGGATTCTGCGCCTTTAAAAGATGTCCAAGGCATCGTGTGTGTAATTCAGATAGATTTACAGATGGGGCTCATAGGATGGATACAGCGATGGAACTTGGATCCTGGCAATTACTTGCTTAGGCTTCTGTCTAGAGGAGGGTCTTCAAACTTGACAGTTTTAAGACTTGTGGACTTCAACTCCCAGAATTCCTCCTCCAGTCACGTTAGTTCAGGAATTCTGGGTGTTGAAGTCCACAAGTCTAAAACTTGCCAAGTTTGAAGAGCCTTGCTTTAGTTTAGAACATGGGTGTTAAACTCGCCGCATCATATTGCTGTCACGTGACGTATCGCAATGTTTTTTCCCTTTGTGGCTGTGGCCTGGAGTGATGCATTCGGCCCGTGGGCCGCCAGTTTGACACCCTTGATCTAAAATATAGTCTGTTTCTCTCTATGCGGTGTAATTCTTGGATTAAAAACCTGTGGAAGGAAGGGAGGGAGGAAGGGAGGGAGGGAGGAAGGAAGGAAGGAAGGAAGGAAGGAAGGAAGGAAGGAAGGAAGGAAGGAAGGAAGGAAGGAAGGAGTTTTTCTAAGGAGGGGTCCTCATATAAAAATCTCTGATATTTGTTTAGATAATTTTGCCCCATTTTATGACCTTTCTTGTCAGAGTTGTTAAGTGAATCACTGTAGTTGTTAAATTAGTAACATGGTGGTGAATCTGCCTTCCCCATTGACTTTGCTTGCCAGAAGGTTGCAAAAAACCCCAGGACAATGCAGCTGTCATCAATAAGAGTCAGGGGCCAAGTGCCTGAATTTTGATCATGTGATCACGGGGTTGATCACGTGATCACAATCATGCTGCAACAGTTGTATGTGTGGAAAATGGTCGTAAGTCACTTTTGTCAGTGCCGTTGTAAATTCGAACGGTCCCCAAATTAACTGTTGTAAATTCTGGACTACCTGTGCTAGTTTATACAAATGGATCAACAGACCTTGGAAAGGATTTTTGTTCTGGTGTGAACAAGCTGGGGCTATATGTGTGTGCGGGGGCAGAAGAGATTGCTGTCCATTTTAACTGCAGAATAAGTTATTCCTCCTGTGTGAGGGCGCTTCTTCTAGCAAGACCACATTCTTCCTCTTATCAACCCACATAAATTTTTGTGTTTTTGTCTGCAGGAGGCTTCATTTATGGAAGGGGCAGTAGAAATAGTTCCGTAATGCAAAAAGAATCCATATAGCCATTTTGTTCTATGGAGTCATTGTATATTCTAGTTCAAAGTTAATTGGGCAGGAAGAAGTAATTCAGGGGATGAGATCTTTTTAATGGTGATTAAATAATGTCAAAATAGAGGGCCTTACCATTAACTAAATAGTAATAGCTACCACAATGCATAATGAGGGAGATGCTTGGATTTTGAGGAGTGGCTAGGAATGGCTTATTTTAATACATCGCCCAATCCATTTCCTTACGTGACGTTATTAGAAACAATTAAATCCTTCATTAGTATGTGGCCAGTGTCAAATAAGTTTGACATCCATATATAAGTGGAAACTATTTTCAGGTACTTGGAAAAAGTAGGTTTCTAGGTTAAACATAATTTTTATGATCATGGTAATCTAGTTTTTAAAGAAAGGAACATCTGGGGAAAAACATCTGACCTGGGCTTGATGGTATTGTGCGTATTTTGTCTGCTGTATTGGGAAGAAAGGAACTGGATCAACAATTAAATCACTTTGGAAATCCTTAAGTCAGGATTTAAGACACAGAATAGAATTCTTTATTGGCCAAGTGTGATTGGACACACAAAGAATTTGTCTTGGTGTAAATGCTCTCAGTGTACATAAAAGAAAAGATAGTTTTTTCAAGAGTCAAGATTCATAAGGTACAACACTTAATAATAGTCATAGGGTACAAGTAAGCAATCAAATCATACTAGGAAACAGTCAATATAACTCGTAAGGATACAAGTGACAAAGTTACAGTCATACAGTTACAAGTGGGAGGGGTGGGTAATAAGGAGTGATGTGAAAATTAATAGTAGTGCAGATTTTGTAAATAGTTGGACAGTGTTGAGGGAATTATTTATTTAGCAGAGTGATGGCATTCAGGGAAAAACTGTCCTTGTGTCTAGTTGTTCTATCTCTAGTAGGGCATATATTAGTCACCGTCATTCAAGATTCCACTTCACAAGGCTCAAGGAAAGGACCATCCCAAGTCCCTCTGCTCCATAGAGAGAGGAATACAGAGTAGTTTTGCAAGAGGGAAGAGATTAAAGAGAAGAGTCCTCCAACCCCAGATCCTTGAATCAGAGGAGTGAGGCATGGGGAAAGAAATTCAATACGGTATTGACATCTCACCTTCAGGGACCTTCCAACAAGCAGCCTTTTTGCCAAATAAAATGTTCTGTTTTGCTCAATAGCTCTGAGATGAAAAGGCACAACAGCACTGAGTCATCTAATTACTAAATTATTTAAACAACTTTCAAAGGCTAATTATTGGTTTTTAAGAACCCGAGCAGTTCTACACCTCTTAGTTTACATGGCTGTCTAGCACTGAGTCAGTATGTAGAACTATCTTCCAATTTAACATATGGGACATGTATACATATATTTCACTTCTGATTTGTACTAGGATCTAATTAATGACCAATCGTCCCATTAAACATTGTCTCTCATTGAGAATCCAGATTGGGGAAGGTTCATAAGGCAGGAGTAGTCCAAGAAAGAAGAGCGTCCTATTTTACGATTCCCTGGACCAAAGCTGGCCTTTATCACACAACTAATTCACTTGATTTAGAGCACTACAGTGCTGGGGATGCTCTGTATTGAATTTAGGTTTTCAAGAGCTTGATCTCTTTCCATGTGGATGCACCCTCCAATTGACATCTCTTACACATCTTTTTCAGTTTGGATTGCCTGCTTTGGGATCCTATGAAGGGATAGTTATGGGTGGCAAAAGGAGGGAAACGTTTGTGGAGCATCAGTGGGACGGGATCAGTTACCCAAGAAGAAGGAATCGTGCTCTTTGGAATCTCTTCTCCTCTTCTAAATAGAATTTGTTGCTTTTTAGCAGGTGGCCGCACCTAGTTTATTTTGATTGTTCTAACAAGGTAAGCAAGGTTTGGTCTTGGCTGGTCCTTGGCTAAAACAACCACTTGGCCGAGAAGTTGAAGAATCATCCTAGAAAAAGGCAACCCGTAAGATTGCCAAGACAACTGCTTGGATGCTGTCCCTAAGTGTCTTCCTTGACTCCCTAAATCAGCCATCAGTAGACCA